TGCTAAGGGAATATTCCCCCATGTGATTGAGGTAATATATTGATGCACGGTTGGATGGAATTATTAAGCGGTAATAAAAGAATATTCCCACACAATATTGGAATATTTCATAGTTCGATTGGAATATTCCGCGGTTTCATTCTAACTTTATTAGAGGAGAAAATGTCGCGGTTGGATTGAAATATTCCGCCGTATTATTGAAGCATTATTGGAATTTTCCGTTGTGCTATTGAAACATTATTGGAATATTACAGAAAAAAAAAGTTTAGTTTAAAATAAATAATAATTTTATGAAATATCTAAATAAGTTTGAATCAAAAAAAGTTTTTAAAAATAACAAATCAATTTGGATCAGTTCTCCAAGTTAAAAATTAATTCATGGATGGCTAAACTAAAACGAAAAATATAAATTTGTTTTAACTATATTTACTTATTACAAAATTCAATTCTTATTACTAAAAACATAAATAAAATTATAAGCATTGCTACTTAAACGTTATAGAAATCAAATTTGAATAATGCGAAACTCATAAAGTCTATAGAAATTAAGAATCATATGTGTCGTTCGAGACAGTTAATCACATTGGAACTTCACTGAATCAATTAGTGTACCGATTCCGATTAGAATTGCTTCAACCTGATCAAAATCACAGCACTAATGTTTGGTATACAACAACTGTGGTATCTAATCTAAGGGTTCAACCTCAAAATAAATAATATATAAACATATACATCATAATTTTGCTAATTTTATAAACATAGTCCAGGAACATAGATCATGGGCAAACTCTGCCCTAAATTTTGGCATATCTTTGCCAGTCTTTCTCTTCACTCCGGTCACTTTAGTGGACTTGAACTAACTTTTCCATAAACTTACATACAAACATGCCACAGTCAACACTATTATTTTGTACAGGGACTCCACGCACGAGTGATAGTGACCAAACAATCACATTGGCTCTGAACTCATTTCCGCAATCTTTTCCAAACAATTTGATCTGGCAAATTATCATGTGAAAGTGATTAGTGCATTTAGGTAGCTGGATAAGAAATATATTTTATGAAGAATACTTACAACGTCATAGCACACCCCATTGTGTATCTTATTGAGTAATGAATCGTACAACTTCCATTTTCTATTTCTCAAATGAGCAACCGACAGTATCCAGTGATCATTGTGAATAATAGAAAATAATATGATGTCAGACTTTTTTACCTCAGCTGTTGTGATAAGTTCAACCAAGGAAGAAGATTGGACATGTCTATGCATATGTATTATATCATATAAAAATGTTACTCATCATAATATAAATTTAATAATTAAGTACAATTTATTTACTTACCCAGTATAATGGAGAGACATATAAATACGACCTGAATGAATTAGGATAACAATCCTTCCTTCTCTTTAATTGGGCAGCAAATGCATCCACATGTTCGCTTGCAATCCAACCCCCTTGTAGTAAATCTAACACTCCACCATAGTCTATGAAAGCGTCATCGTTATTGAACAAAATATCATGCCTGCAGTGTACAAGGACATTGAGTCATTGATTGTAAACCCATTGCAATACATAGATTGAAAAGAAGGTCTACTCACCTTTGATTGTACATGGACAAACATTCATCGATTACGGATTGCATTTCCAGGGATATAAGCCCTCTACCAGGATAATCGATGTTGGGCACCGAGCGTTGTGGCTACAAAAAAAATTACTAGTTAAGAGATATATGAAGTCAACTTAACAAGTAAAAAACTCTGTTAGAAACCCATTTCATCGTACCACTATTATAGGTTCTTCTACAGTGGCCAAGCTTTGTACACCAGGTGATTTTGATGGTTCTTCTATAATGGTTGAGCTATATAAAGCAGAAGAAATAATTATTTGAAGGCCATTTTCGGCCTCGTCCTGACTATCTACAATTGAAGTTGTTATTATTTCGTCATCATGTGATTTTGTTGGTTCTTCTACACTGGCAAATACATCTACATGTTTGGTATTTACAGGGAAATCCTCAGGCCTTACGACAGGAGTCTCTAGAATAACATCTAAGGGTTGAACAACATCCATTTTTGGTTTTCTTCTTTTATACTCAAAACCATCATAAGGGGAAGCCAACTTTCTCTTGCTTCTGCTTCGTCGACCCTTAACCCTTTCAATTAAGCTTCTAACAAATTGCTCATGGGTTCCTTCTTTTGGCAACTTAATCACTTTCTCACCAAGTGTTGATTGATATGTTCCCATTTCATTCATCTCATCGACCGCTTAAACAAGAGATGATTGTCAGGTTCCATATTTGAATCCAATGTTTTCTTCTACAGGAACAGGAGAATACAACTGGTTGTATTTCTCCTTCAACTCTATGCCTTTCTCAACGCTTGGTTGTCCTGATTTTTCAATGCTACTCTGTAATCCTGACATTGTCTCTTGTATATTTAAGACTACTGTATTTATTGTATTGAGTGCTCATTGGAATTCCCTGAACCATTTCTCCTGAGCTCTAAGTAGCTCAATGATTACTTCGAGGCTTTGATTGACTCCACCTTTTGCTGAATACCATTCGCTCATATTGCCAACACTTTAATATTTTTAGTGTGAGAACATTGTCTTACGGATAAGGTAGATCAAAAAAATGATCTGCAATCAATGGTCTCAGGCTATTCATTCTCTTCTCTGATAAGCCAAGCTTGACTTTATCAAGAACATCTCTTATAACAGATGTACGACACTTGCAACTGAAGGATCTTGGGTTTACAAATCTACAAGTAAAAAAACATGCAAAAAATATAGCTAATTAACTATATATATAGTTATCTATAAATCAATAAAACAAGAACCCTAAAAAAAAAAAAAAAAAAAACTTAAAAGCATTAAAGAGATGGAGATGTTATTCAAGTTTTATTAAGTTGTCCTTTTAGTGTTCTTGAGGTGTTATTGAAATATTATTATGGTTTTATCATGATTTTATTATGATATTATTATAGTATTATTATGGTATTATTATATCGCCGGTATTATTATGATATTATTATGGTACTATTATGATATTATTATGGTGTTGGTGTTATTATAGTATTATTTTGATAATATATCAGTATTATTATGAATTTATTATAGTGTCATACAAGAAAAGAATTGAATTATTACCATACCTCAATGCTAGATTTTGAGAGCAACAAAAAAAAAAAATATATTATCTTGATGCTCTTTCATGACTCTTGAGCTCTTTGATGTTCTTCATCTTCATCTCTTTTCTTTTCTTCTCATGCTCTGTAGTTTCCATCGTCTCGGGTACTTCGGTCTCTCCGGTGGGCTCGTTAGCTTCCATTTTTCGTGTGAAGAGGGGACTCGAACGGGGCGAATGACGATTTCAAATGCAAGCCCTAAAACATGAAGGGACTCAAACGGGGCGATTTCTCTTGCAGAAGAGGATGGAACAAGTGAAACAATCGGAGTGTTTTATCTTCAGTTTTATTTTGGTAGTTTAAATTCCGCCCGATTGGAGGCGTTCGGGTCGGGCCGGGCCTGGCCGGGCTGCATAATTAAAAGTATTATTTTTTTATTTAGGAGAAGCCCAGAAATACGAAAAATTATTGTGTACGGTGTCCGATTATGACCGTCAGGATTATTTCAATTTTTTTAATAATAAAAAAAATTTAAGTGAGCACACCAAATGATTTGATTTAAGATCCGGATCGGACCCCACCTCCAAAGTTATTTGATTGAAGCAAGAACGGTCTCTACGTCCGTGCTCCGGACCGAATCAGCGCTCGGTCGGAGCAGAAACTTCGCCCCAAATCCCTATTTTCCGCTGCCCCGACCTCAGTTGTTCCGTGTAGTCGACGGGTCTCAAGCGAAGATCTTTCAACGCAAATTTCTCACGTCAACGAGTCCCTCGCGATCGCGCTACGCTATTCTTCACGCCGGCGACTACAGACTCCGCCTTGGCCAAACCCTTAGATGCTCCAGGCAGCAACCTGAAATCTATACGCTGTGCTGTTCGCAACGTTAAGGTATTTTCTGTTTTTTGAGATATTTTCATATTTTATCACCCGTTAGAACTGCTTCAAATTTAGTTGATTTATTCTTTCTTTGATTTTATTATTATTATTTTATTGTTTGAAGTGAATTTTTGAAGAGGGAATTTGATGAGAGCAATCTTTTCTTTATCATGGTTCCTTTAACAGCATCAAACACCTTGATTTTTATAAGATTAAGATAAAAAAAATTTCATTATATGGAAATAAATTTTCGCTGGAAAAATTTGGAGAAGGTGGATGGGTTTTTGGTTCAACCGCACTTTGGGGCGAACTGAATGAGCAACCAAAATGTTGGCTTTTTCAATTTTCATATCTTTATTCGAACAATATGAATATTTACATTGTGTGAAAGCTAGGGTATCTCCTTAAAGCGACATGCTGTATGAGCTAAATACGATATAAATGTGTATGGACCGCCACATCAACGCCTGGTTGTTTTGTCAAATAAGCAAGAGTTTCCATATTATGGACTGTTGTGGGTAAAAAAGTTACTTTAAAATGAATATTAGGATAAAATATTGAAATATAGGAACTATTACAGATAAATTAATGAAATTAATATTCATTATGGTTTATAAGAAGGTAAATATCTTATGTATTAAATTTTGATATTCAGGTTGGAGTAGTGCTAGGAATGATATAACTATAATTGTAGAAAAGAGTTTAATAGATAATGTTGTAAAAATTAATAGAATTAGAGATATAAGTATAGTTTCGAAGATTATTTTTTGATACTAAGATGTTTAATGTTATAAGTGTTCATGCTTCTCAAGTAGGATTAGATATAGATTTAAAAAAAAAAAATTATGGAATGACCTAGAAAAAAAAAATATAAATAATACATCTTGAAGAAAAAATTTTTCTTGGAAGAGATTTAGGGCGTGTTTGTTTCAAAGTTTTGAGTCATAGTCGGTTACACACGCCGTTTTGTGCTATTTGATTGACGCTTTTTGTTGTAAAAACACAGATGCAAATACTGTTCTACAGCCCTTTGAAGCGATTGATTTTTTCCTTGGTTGCCCCCGTCTCAGTTCATGCCCTCGCGAACGGCTTGGACTGCCAAGTTGAGGTGACGACGGAGCTTAAGTAGAAGTATCGGGTTTGGATGGCGGACTCAACGGTAGCGGAGGAAGTGAATCAATAGGAGAGGCAGTGGAAGATGAGGATAATGGGGAAGAGGAAGATGCTAAAGAGCTAGAGGAAAGATAGAAGGAGATTCCCAAAGACATGACTATGAGGAAGAGGTGGTGGAAGTGTTGAAGGAGGAGGACAACGCGATTTAAAATGGGTGTGGACTGCTCCACTCACCACTATTTTGTTTCGTAAACTATTTGAGAGCATTTTTCGAATTGCTGAATATTGCTCATTGCAAAAATTTAATTACATTTCTCATTAAATTTTTCTATATTAAAGCAAAAATTATATATATATAACAATATGACATATAACACAATGAATGATATCTTAATTTTTTTTTTAAAACCGGTGGCCTACCCAAGCTTCAATTGGAATTGTAAAGCTCGAGTGAAGAAATCTAGCCTTCACTTTCTTCAATAAATTAATTTATAGACTTTACTTTTGTATTTCCGCTTGTTTGGTCAACATAGTTAAAAAAAGAGAATTACATATACTGAAAATGCCTACGTTATCTACAATATATATACCGAGGGGTATTACAGTCATCAGTCCACGGACAATACTTTCAGAACTGTGTTTTTCAAACAAACCAACTGTTTTTGAAACACCAGCTTCTGAATAACAGATTTTCAGTGACATCTTTCAAACTGAGACTTTGTGTAACAACAACTGTGCTTTTCGATGAAATATTGCATAAGAAACATTTCATCGAACAATTGATATGTCATTGGAATCAAATAAGGACACAAAAAATAATCTTGAACTTATAAGTTATAACTAATCGCTCCGACGAAAGATTAAAAATTTCAACCACATTAAATTATTCCAGGACAAGCAAGTAAGTGGACTGGGAAACCGACAAATCATGTTGCACTGCTAAATGACTATAACAAACTAATTCACCATCTGTAACAAATAGACGATGAAGGAATAATATAGCACCCAAACCGGCTCAATGCATATTTCAATCAAATTTATAACCACTCTATACTACAAAAGGAACCAAATAAAGCACTAATTAGCATGGAAGGCCACTGCAAAGAGGAAAGATTCCTATCATCATTAGTCTAGGTTTCACAATCTCAATAGCAAACAAATTTGATGAACTAAAGCTAGAATGGAGATCTAATGGAGTGGTCATCAAAGCTATCACATGAATGCAACAAATAATAGGATCTGAACTAATTCGTTATAAATATCCCAGATGATAGAAATAGTCCAAATATCATGAAAAAACTGCAATGAATTCACAAAAGAGTAAGCGAAATTGAGAGAGTGGGGGGCAGGAGAAGGCAAAAATTGGAGTTTCGGCTTTCTGCTGATTGCCTTGTGTGAATGGGAGAAGCGAGAGAAGGAAGAAGCAAAGAAGGGCGATGTGCCTCCGGGTTGCTGGTTGGACGGAGGTGAGCGGGCGGCAAACCAATGACGCTGGTAATGGAATGCTGAGCGAAGGGACGGGATCAGATCAGAGAGTGGGAGAAAAAAATAACCGGATAGGATTTTTTCACAGTTTGATTTACATAAATATGGGGCAGCGCAGAGTGGACGATTCTTTCAAACTTTGATCGGTTTGCCAGTTCAACTGTTCCTTATGGTTCAATGCAAGGGAGTTTTTAGTCCAACCAGAACCAAACCTCCAACCGGTTTAGAGTCAAATTGATCGGTTTGGTCTGGTTTTCTAGACCTTGGTTTTACCAGCTCAATAAATTTATTTGTTTTTTTTAAACACCTTCCTTGAATTATATATTAAAAAAAAGGCTTTCTATATTAACGAATATATCTTAGCATTATTTAGTTTAACTATGCACTTAGGAATTTTAAGACTTAACTATTGATTAAACTATAACTTCGGGATGTTTAGTTGAAGATTAAATTATTAGCGGATCTCTTTAGTTCGAAAGTGGTTATCTTTGAAGTCATTAGTGAAAACGCACCTTCTATACTCCAATGAAAAAAATTATGCCAAATGTCTCCTACTTGAAAGCTTGTGGATTTTTCAAAGATTAAATTGGCTATCTCATGAAATGCAACTATATATTGATCACATGAAGACTCGATTTTATCAAGAGCTATGTACAAGGAGTGATAAAATTTGGGATTTCTTCTGAATAAAAAATATTTCGCTTTGCAGTGCATTCTATCTGCTGCATGATACACATGATATGTAGGGTGTAAATGAGTGGGGCTTGAGCGAGTCAAAGACTTGTTCGTGCTCATATCGCTCAAATTTTTATTGTTCGAGTTCGACTTGTGTCCAAATGGCACGTGAATAGTCTACTCATGTTTGGCTTAATTCAAACTCTTTTGTTCAAATTAAGCCGTGTTCGGTTTAAAATAATAATTTATTTAAAAATAATAAATCCAATAATTTATTTAAATTACAAAATTTAATTGCCCAAATTTTGCTTCCGTAGAATCATGGCCGCATCACGTGTGAGATGGATTATGAGCAATTGCGATTCACTTTTAAGTAGATTAGTTTAACTATTCATTCCTTTTTTTTTACCAATGTGGGATTAAACACTGAGGAGGGAGGGCTGGGTCGGATCGTAGGAAAGCCAGGCAAGAGGGATGCGGGAGCTGCGGTATCGCAGAGCAGTTAGTTTGGAGGGAAGGCTGAAGCGTGATTGCAGAAGCTTATTTTTCATTCATTTATATGCATAACACCCAATTTTTTGTATTTACATATCTAACATACAAAATTTGGGGGACCACGGGGCGGGAGAGTGGGTTGAGCCAAATTTATTTTCTCAGGGCCATTTTGATACATGCCACCAAATTCTTATGTATGTACATATCCAACACAAATTTTATTTTTCTCTTGCAATCCTAGCATAAATTAATTAAAATTAAATTAATTTAATATATTTTTAATTTAATATATAAATATTATACTAATATTATTTATTTATTATTTAATTAAAACGAGCCAAATTGAGCCGAATACAAACGAACAAACCTTTGTTCTTGTTTGGCTCATTTATAAGCCAGATTATTTTTCAAATTTTTCTATGTCAATTTGCTCAAATAACTTAAAAAATTCTTCAAATATTGACTAATATTTAAATATAGAAACGTCCATATCGTTTGTTCCTATCACTATTGATTATTTTCATATGAAAATTAATTCCAACCTTCACTCATCAACTGACACTTAGCGAATTCCTTCATATATCCAAGACTATCGTTGACATACTTTCCAAATTGTCAACAAAGGCGAACAATCATTCAGCTATAAATCAAAACATTTAGTCGTGAGGGCTAAGCAACCAATTGGGATCCATATAATATAAAATATTCAAGTCAGGTTTCTCTAAAACTCAAAAGAAAGGTTAAAAGGTGGGGCATATGTTGTTTTCTGCAAGAAGTATATGAAAAGAATTCGCATATGACATTTATTGTTTGCCAAAATTTTCTCAAGTGAACCCCATCGATAAGAAAATCATACAAAAGAAAATTCTGAATTCCAGCAAATATAGAAGATTTATTGTGCATTTGTTATGCCAAATGCCAATTTTTTTTCTTCAGGTTTCTTAAATCCTTTTTAGAAAAAGTATATTGGGAAAGAATCAAAGAAATAGACGGGTGCACAAGTAGGGCACAAAATCCATTCCTCAAATCCTCTTTCAAGTCTATTGAAATCAAAACTCTTCTTCCAACATCGTCAGAGTAAAGAGCAATGCAATGACATGTAAATGGTAGCACAAGTAGGGTACGAAATCCATGTCTTCTACGCAAAGGCAAAAAAGGACAAAGAACAAACCCGCAAAAAAAAAAAAAAAAAAGAGTAGAGGTAGAAGGAGATTATTCGAAAACGATTGGAGAAACTACCCCTCTTTTACGTAAAGAAAATCTTTCTCGATCAAGCTCCCCCCTCTCAGCTTCGCGTACGGGTTTTTGCTCGATAACACAATTAAAGCATCGTGTATCGTTCTCTCTTTATTTAGGACAAATGATATCTTCATATATTTACCTTTACCAAACTGCAGGATGCGGGCTTTTGCTCGACCATGGCATAAAAATGGAGGAATTTACGTCCGCATTTCTTTAAATGCATATTAAACATGATAAAGAAACGGGTGACAGTGCGGTTTTGAACCAAGTAGCGGGCCAAACACCGCGCCAAACATAGCGTAAGAGATTAGAGAGGTTCTAGTGGCTTGATTTTCTATTTCGAAGTGTTGAAAAACTTCTGTTGAAAACTTTATTTCCACTTTTTTCTTTTCTATTTTTTTCTCTTTTCTTCCTTTTATTTATTATCCAACTGAGATATTTCTCTAATTTATCTAGGTTTTCCTTAGGCTTGGCTTTTTTCCTAGAGTTTTAGGTTCCGCCCCAAAATTAAAAACTTGTGATGTCTGTGATCTACTGTGATAGGTGTTTTAACTTGCTGTTTTTTTTAGTTATTCTTCTTCATTTGTCTCTCCTTTTTGTATATATAGCTTTTATTTCTGACTCCTTGTTATATTATACTTGAAAAAATTGATGACTTGATATTAAAAAACTTTTAATTTAATTTTTGTATTATATAACAAACAGATTGTATCTTGATGTTTATTTTATGAGTAATTTTTGTTATTTTTAGAATGTTAGCAATTCATATACCATATATCCTATTTTTATGCAGATCAAGTAAAGATGAGGTTGTTAGCTCTTTCCACTTGTAATCTAAATCAATGGGCCATGGATTTTGATAATAACCTTCGGAACATTAAGGCATCAATTTCTAGTGCTAAAGAAGCAGGGGCTACAATTAGAATCGGACCAGAGCTCGAGATAACTGGATATGGATGTGAAGATCATTTTTTGGAGCAAGATACTGTAACCCATGCGTGAGTTTATTGCAATTTATGTGCATTTATTTTTATCTTCTCTGAGCTTTACTTATTTTCTTGGAAGATTTACATACATTCCACTTAATTCCTATGTATTTACATTTCTAACATCTAAACTTCAATTTTTACATACACGCCACCTCACCTATGCATAAAAAGGGGTATTTAACTTTTTAAAAGTGGTATTTTTGATGTGATATGAAGGGTTTAGTTGGTATAACTGTAAAAGTTAAAGTTTAGGTGTTAGATGTGTAAATATATACGAATTTGATGGTATGCATGTTAATGCCCCCATTTTCTTTTGTGATAAGAATGATTCTCTTCTGAAATGTGATAGCACTCTATTTAGTGCAAAGTTACTGTGATCAAATGTTTTGTTTCATTGTCGAAAGTGCTAGGAATTCTATTTCTTTTTCGTATGAATGGTTTTTATTTTACTTTTATTTCATATTTTTAAATCTATTATACCTGATGCAAACGTGACTCATGGTTAGGCTTTTCTAATTTAATTAACATGAAACATATTATGTTTTCATGGAAAAAAAGAACGTATTTATACTTAGTACTCACCAATCAAGCGACATTCTTTTTTTAAAAACGAGTTAACCAAGTCTATGATGAAATGTTTGCAAACTCTGATAATTTCAACAAGAATTTGGAAGCTGATAACATCAACGGGCAAAGATTTACAAATTTGATTTCTGATGTATCTATTTTTTACCAAAATCAAAGGCTTAAACTAGCCAATAAGTAATCTAGAAGTAATATAGAATGGAAGAATTTTTTTAGTGGAGAAAAATCAAGCCTTATGCTTCCATTTAAAGAGTTGAGTTCTCTCAGAATCACTGAATCATAATTGCATCATGCTTGAAGTAATTTCACACCAATTTGTACTCATATGCTTAAAAATCAAAAGAGAAATTTTATTCAAGCTGGTGGATAAGGCTATGATAAGATTAATATCAATTTAATTTTAATTAATCCCAAATAAAATGAGATTTCCAAAACATCTGAACAATCTTATAATTTTAAATTTCCCAAATTAATCTCTAGAGAAACTTGCAAATCAATAGTCTATTGAAAATGTGAAATTAGAGTTACTGGATTAGCACAAAAGCATTGCCGATCCTTTGCATAATAACATCCAAAGTCTGCACGCATTCAAAATATGAATTTGGTCAAAAAAATTGTGGAAAATGCTTGGATTTAAAACTTGATTGCCAATCTTCTCGTATGTGAGCACGTCCTACCACTTTAAGAAGAAAAAAATAATTTTCTTTGTTATCACATCCTTTTTTATAATAGATGTGATGTTATTTCAGCTTAATTAAGGCGACAATAAACTCCTTATGCTTTGTTATATTTTGCAAAAAATTGTGTTGCCAATAGGGCTGTCAAAAAAATTTGTTCTTCTTTGATCATGTTCAGATTGATAATTAGTTTAATATCAACTAGTTTTTAATGTTTGTTTATTTATTGAAGCTAAAGGAAAATGCCGATGTTCGATTGTATTTGACTTAATAATAGTTTAGTTGTACTTGTATGCATATATATATATATATATATAGAGAGAGAGAGAGAGAGAGAGAGAGAGAGAGAGAGAGAGAGAGAGAGAGAGAGAGAGAGAGAGAGAGAGAGAGAGAGAGAGAGAGAGAGAGAGAGAGATGCCACTATGCATAAAAATATGCACATATATGTATAAGTGCATGTATGTTTGTATGCATTCATATAAATGTATATATTATGTGCTCTGATATGAATATTTGCATATTTTTATGGATAAATGTATATATGCATGTTGATATTTATATTCTATAATTATTCAATCTTTGAAGTATTTTTCAGGTTCAAGAATAGCTCGCGTTCAGCTTTGAAAGTAACTATACATAAACAAGTCAAACATAAATAAAAAACATTGGCTTATCTGCTTAACGAGCGAAGCTGCTTAACACGTGAGCTTAAAGTCAGCTAGTTTACATCTTTAGTTGGAACTCACTAATTCTTAAATATTTCCCCACCTTTTTACTTTGGTAGAATACTCACTGCTTATTGAATGTAAAATATTGTCAATTCTAATGTTTCATAAATGCATTTAAAGCTATATTTGTAGCTTGAAGCACTCTCTAATAAACCTTTAAGTCGCATTTATGTTCTCTGAGCTTTACTTACCATGATTCCCTTGGTTAGATCTGCATTATAAGTTGCATATTTTAACTTCATATTAAGGGAAAAATACATAAGAATTGTGTGCTATGCACCCATGTTTTTAAAGTTCTCAATTTTTCAACATTAGATATTCTGCTCTATGCTCTTTATCATCTACCACATGCATCCATATGACATAGGGGTGTGTAACTATTAGTACAATTACGGCTTTATTGGAATTAACTTATTTTATCGTAAAATAGCTCAGATGAATTCTTCTTTCTTTGTTTTCATCTTTCTTTGTTTTTCCCAGCTTTTATCATACTTGTTCCATTTTTGTTTATCTCTGATATAGTTTGTGAGCTGTTGATATTGATTGAATAATAGCTTAGGAATTATTTCATAAATTTCAAAGTAGAAAATATTCATTTCGAATACAACTTTCTTCTTCTTTTTGTTTTTTTTGTAAATTTTATTTTTTAAATATTTTACACAATTGATTCAAATTTATGTGCAGATGGGAATGCTTGAAGGATCTATTATCTGGTGATTGGACTGACAACATATTATGTAGTATTGGGATGCCCATTATACATGAAAGTGTGCGATATAATTGTCAGATATTTTGCTTGGACCGGAAAATTATCATGATACGTCCAAAGGTTTGTCTTGCAAATGATGGAAATTACCGAGAATTACGCTGGTTCTCGGCTTGGAAATTTAAAGACCGGCTTGTCGATTTTCAACTCCCAAGTGATATTTCTGAAGCTATTTCACAGATTTCAGCACCTTTTGGATTTGGTTATATTCAATTTCATGACACGTAAGTACCTATGGCCTTTAATCAAAGGGGCATTTACATACATATCACACCATTCTTATGTTTTTACGTGTCTCACACCTAAACTTTCATATTGACACACACAACACTCAAACTCAAACTTTTAATATCACATAAAAAATTTCATTATGACAATTTTTTAAAAATGAAATGCACATTTTCATGCGGGCTATGTATGTAAATATTGAAGTTTAGGTGTGAGATATGTAAATGCATAAGAACTGTGTGGTGCATGTAAATCTCCCTTAATCAAAGTTTTTTTCTATTACTAGAATTTTTTACTGTTGCTACACCGCGTCTTACGTTAGTTAATAGATTGTCTGAGGTGTTTATGGTAACTTTCATCTTATTTTTGCGCTGAAGAAACAACCAAATGATTATTTTCAGATCAAATTTAGTCACTTAAAAAGGATTATAATTAATTCCATGATACCAAATTCTATAGCCATCAGTACAATTACTAAGAATGCATCTACATTGTGTGTGTGTGTGTAATGTGGCTTATTTTATTTTATTTTTTTTAATTCTTTCGTTGATTTCATTTCACTTTTTAATTAAGTGTTTTTTAAAATGAAATCACAATGGTTGATAATAATGATTCTTTAGAAATTCTTGTTGATATTGTTTTGCTTTGATCACACTTCATACCAAACAATATATAACCATAATTTACGCTATATATCATTTATTGTAAGAATTGTTTTCTGTCAATGCCCTTCAAGCAAATCAGTTTTTATAGGATTTGTTTTCCTTCTAAATCCTTATGTAATTTACGATGAGCACCTGTAATTAAACTGCTGTCATATTGGTTGCTCACTGGATAATAGGTGCAGCGTTTTATGTCCTTTATTTAATTCTATTTTTCAAACTGTTACGGTTAACTCTAAAGCTAACCTTGCGTATATGTAATTGAACATAAGTGGATATAGACTTCTGTTTTTACCATAAGTTTCCCTGATTTTAAAAGTATCGGATGCTTATTTGTTATTTTTTTCAGTCCAGGGCATGTGGATGAATTTTATTCTAGAAAAAAATAAAAATTGCCAATGATAATTTAGACGGACTAAGAATTACTTGTTAAAACTTTTTTTTGAATGGGATATGGTTTAAAATCGTGAAACTCAATTCCAATTTATCTAATGATAAAATCTTGCACGATGTAAGTGTGAAATAAAATTTCAAAAGTGAAAGGAGAATAACATTTGGGGGACTCTAAAGGACCATTTTGGGACTTTTTTTGTTTATGTTTTTTTTGGTGTTAAAAAAATGTTTCAATTGATTTTTTTTTTCTATTGCATATTGCATGAGCCATTTTGTATGGCAGTTGCGATCGCCTTGGTGGTGGTTGGTTGATGGTTTTGGCGGCTAGCGATTATTGACGACAACTGACGATTACCTAATGTGATTTTCATTTTGAAAATAATGAAAAAAAAATGAGAACACCTAAAAGTTTCTTGAGTATTTAAAAAATAACTTGATTTACTTTTTTCTTAACTAAAAATATAAATTAAATTTATTTAAAAGAATAAAAGAAGTAAAAAAAAAAAGACTAAAATTGATCTCAAATAAGTCCTATGATTCTCTTGGCATAATCCCTCTACCCCAACCTATGGTTTTAGTTATTAGGTTTTTATTTTACATCGTTAGGAAAAGTTAATTTCGATTTCTTTTCTTAAATTAGTTTGTAATTTTATTTTGGTTCTTATGTTTTTGAAAACCTCATTGCTTATTTTACACTGTCATTGCCGAATCCCAGGATCCGGATGTGAAAAGGAGAGTTACATTAGTTAGTTAACAACAACATAAAATTTGCTAAAGAATTATGACATGAATCATTTTGATCATTGTGTAAATGCTAGAGCATCCCCTGGAAGCGACACATTGTATGACCTGAATACAATAAAAAGTGTGCAAGGGCCGCTACACCAACGCCTGAGTATAACATCAAATAAGAAAGAGTTCCACATTACAGACTGATGCAGGTAAATAAGTTCGTCCATGAAACTAATACTATGATAGGATCTTGAAATGTATGTACTCTCACAGGTAAATTAATAGAATTAATTGAACATGAATCATTTTGATCATTGTGTAAATGCTAGAGCATCCCCTGGAAGCGACACATTGTATGACCTGAATACAATAAAAAGTGTGCAAGGGCCGCTACACCAACGCCTGAGTATAACATCAAATAAGAAAGAGTTCCACATTACAGACTGATGCAGGTAAATAAGTTCGTCCATGAAACTAATACTATGATAGGATCTTGAAATGTATGTACTCTCACAGGTAAATTAATAGAATTAATTGTATTATGATTCTTAGAAAGATAAATATCTTATGTATTAAAGAAACTAAATATGTTGGAGAAAAGACTAAGGAGATTGATAACTTATGTTTTAAACTTTGATATTCAGATAACAGTCACACTAGAAATATTGTAGGTGTAATTATAGATAAGAGTTTGAAAGATAATGTTATAAAATTTAATATAATTGGAGATAAAATTATAGTCTTTAAGATTATTGTTGATACTAAGATTTTTAATATTATAAGTGTTTATGCTCCTCAAGTAGTTTAGATATAGGTCCTAAAGATAAATTCTGGAATAACCTAGAAGACGTAATACAAATGATACATCTTTAAGAAAAAAAATTTATTGGATGAGATTTAAATAGACATGCTAGTAGACTGGTAGAAGATTTTAGAAATATTATGGTGACTATGGTTTTAGAGTGATTAATGAAGAAGGTAGAGTTATATTAGATTTTGCTTTAATGTATGCTAATATTTTATTAAAAAAAAAGAGATGAACATATTATTAATTATAAGAATGAATCTAATAAAATGTGAATTAATTATTTTCTTATGAGAAGAAGAAATCGTCGAGAATGTAAAGATTGTAAGTTCATTCCAAGGTGAGGATTTAAGTACTCAGCATCGATTATTAGTTTTAGATTTTAAGATAAAGAGTTGTAAAATAAAGAAGGTTAGGAATCATTTTCATAGAATTAGATGGGGGTACCTAAATGACACAAATAAAATTTTTTTTATGAGTAAACTTGAAGATTTAAGATTTGAGATGTTCAAGAAGAATCAAATTCTATGTGGGATAAAGTAACAAACACTATTAAACCACTGCTAAAAGATGTACATGAAGAATCAAAAGTAAAAATTTCTATAAATAAAAATAGTTGGTGGTGAAATAATAATATGCAAGGAAAGATAAAATATAAGCAGTTATGTTTTAAAAATTTATTTAAATGTAAAAACTTAGAAAACTAAAAAAAATATAAGATGACACATAAAGTGTTTAAGAGAACAATCTGTGACGCTAAAAATTTTACTTTTAATGATTTTTATAATATATTAGATACTAAAGAGGATGATAAATATATATATAAACTAGCCAAATAAAGAGAAAAGTAAAGTAAAGATTTAACTCAGGCGTATTAAAGATTAAAATAAAAATGTGCTTTTCTTAGAAAAAGATATTCAACATAGGTGGGTGAATTATTTTGATAAACTTTTTAATGAAGTTTCTGAAAATATGATCGACCTTAGTGATCTTAATATCATTAATGATAATAGAATGTTACATTTTTATCATTGCATTAGTAAAAACAAGGTGAGTAGACTTTAAAGAAAATTAATGGTGGAAAGCCTGTAAGATTTAATGATATCCCAATTGAAGTGTGAAAATATATAGGAGATTTGAGAGTTTCTTGGCTTACTAAACTCTTTAATATTATTTTAAAAACTAAGAAGATTTTTGAGAAGTGGAGGAAGAGTATTTTGGTCATCATTTTTAAGAATAAAGGGGATGCATAAGAGTGTGAAAATTATAGAGGAATTAAGTTGATGTGTTATAAGTTGATGATTAAGTTGATGTGTTATACTTTAAAATTATGGGAGAGAGTAATTGAATATATGTTAAGACGTCTTACAAAGATTTGTCATAGTCAATTTGGATTTATGCCGGACAGGTCTACCATGGAAACTGTAAATTTATTGAGAGGTTTTACGGAGAAGTTCAGAGAGAATTAGGAGGATCTACATATGATTTTTATTTATTTAGAATAACTTACGATAATGTTCCAAGTGCTATCTTTTGATGAATTTTGGAGAAGAAAGGTGTTGATATGGCTTATATTCAAGTCTTTAAAAATATTTGTACTAGAGCTTTTACTTGTTTGAACAAAAGGTGGATTGATTAAATATTTTCCTATTTCAGTTGGATTACATTAGGGATCAACTTTAAACCTATATCTTTTTGCTTTAGTTATGGATGCTTTTACTGGACATTTACAGGAGGATATACTTTGATGTATGCTTTCTGTTGATGATATTCTTCTCGTGGATAAGACGAGAGAGAAAGGTAAGGAAAAACTTAAATTATGAAGGTCTACATTGAAGTCTTAAGGTCTTCGTTTGAGTAGAACTGAAGCTGAATACATGGAATGTAATTTTAGTTGTAGTAGCTTTAGGGACAGAGTTGTAATTATGGGTGATCAGATTATCAAAAGGTGTGAACTTTTTAGATTTCTCGGGTCCATTGTTCAAAATGATGGTGATATAGAAGGTGGTTTTATTAGTAGAATTCAAGCTGGTTGGTCAAAGTGGAGAATGCTTTAGGCCGATTGTGTTGTAGAAAAGTATCGCTTGGAATAAAAGGAAAATTTTTTAAGATGGTGGTGAGGCCTGCAATGCTCTATAGCGTTGGCTTTTAAAAGAGAAGCATAAAACTAAGTTACGTGTTGCCGAGATGAGAATGCTTAGGTGGATGCATGACTTTACACTTAGAGACAAAATGCGAAATGAATCTATTTGTGAGAGGGTTGGTGTAGCTCCAGTGACGGACAAAATTAGATAGTCATCTTAGATGGTTTGTTCACATTAAACTTCGACCATCCGATGATCCGATTAGGAGAGTAGATGTTTAAGATTCGACTTATGTTAAGAAAGACAAAGGTAGATCTAGAAAGACTTGGGCATATTGTATAAAAAATGATATTAATTTATTAGAATTGAATGAAAATATGACACTCAATAGGACGCAATGGAGAAAAAGAATTCATGTAGCCGTCCCCACTTAGTGGGATAAATATGTTGTTGTTGTTGGATTTACAATTATTGTGCATGTTTAAGTGGATGTAAATAATGGCTTTGTTTTTGGTCCTGTTTCGTGCAACTGGATCTTTTTTAAAATGTAGCTGTAAATATGTTGTGAGGAAGGTAATTTTTTGGAAGTTGCTTTATGTATTATAAGTATTTCCTTTTTTGAGGATGTGAAACAGAATTTTTTTATAGTTATCACATTTTATCAGATCCAGTTCTCTAAAGTACCTTCGTACCATAGAGAATTCAGGAAAATGTAAAGAAAGCATTAGCCAAATGAATGTGTGGCGGCGGGCTGAAAAGTACAACAGTGAGTTAGCTGTCTCAAATATACGTTTTGTTTTAATTATAGAGTTATTGTGATTTGGATGTTTAGATATTGTTGCGATTGTTCTTATAGAAGCATTGATTTAACTTTATTTAGATTTATGGATTATTTATAGGTTCTTGAACGATAAGAAACTAAAAATGTACAAATAGTAAGGTGCCTTTTAATAATGTTTAGGTTAACTTTAAGGAGAATATTACTAGATATTTTTCTGCGTAGCTAAGCAGCTAAGGTTATTGCATTCACTCATGTTCCGAATAGTATTATTACATAAGAATTTGCTAGATTGAAAGTGTTGTAATAGAATAACATTGGATTCAAAAGATGTGTTATTTCTTTTTAATATTCTCATAACTGAGTATATTTCTCTCTTTATTATCTTTCATATGTATTTTTCTTTTGTGCCTATATATTGGGACATGCATTTAGTCAATAATATACAATATTTTTCTCCTCTAACTTGATATTATAGAATATTTTTTTTCCCTAGCAGCCATTCCCCCTTCTCCCTTCTTGTTTACTTGCGAACTTTGGTTGCAAGCATCTCAATCTTTTTTTCGTTGCTACAACCCTGGCTCACACAATATTTTCAACAACTTTGCTCTGGCAACCTGCCACTAGCGTGCTCCCTCTTATGCACGATTGCTCACCACAACTACCGAAGAGTTTGCTATGTGTCGCTGCACATGCTTCTTCCCATGCTTACCTTCTCTCAACCTTTGCTCATGCGCTTGTCCTTTTTCTTACTCTTGTTCACAACGTTGCACTCATTGCTACTTGACTGTAACCCTAGCGCATGATCACTTCATGGCTCTGCTTAAATTCTCTGTTTGATTAGTCAATTTCTTGCAATCCTTTGATTTTTTGGCGGTGGCATCTACAAAATTTCTTCCACTTTATTTGATTTCATTTTTGATTCTTTTTGCTGTGAGTAGAAAACCCAATATGTTTTTGACCTGGCTTTAAAAGCATATTTTATGGGATTAAGTCACTTTTTAAATTTCCTTAAAGTGCATAAGTATTCTTTAAATTCAAATTTTCTGTTTAGGATATTTCTATTTAAATCATTTTCATATACTTCAATGTTTAATGATCTATCCTCTTGGGTTCTCCTCTCTCCCCCCCTCTCTCCCCTCCTCTCTCCCATAAGATGTTATGTATTCTCAACCATACCTCAATGAGTTAACTCTATCATTGATGTCTATATACAATAAAATGATACCCTTATCTATTGTTTAAGGGCTTTTCACTTCCTTGTTGGTTCTCATGATCAGCTTCACCATCTTGATCCCTCATATGGACAAAAGTAACATGGTCAAGTTTTCTAAGTGGCAAGCATGAGTATTTTAATTGTCTTTAGCCAAAAAGATTTTGAATTTTTTTTTCTTCAAAAAACTTTTAAGAAAGTATTGTTTGTCAAATTTGTACTATTTTTATGATATTGCCCTATTTAGTATAATGATTTTCGTAATCACAATGAATACATCATATTGAGAGGAAAACATGACACGTTACTTGAGGATTGCCCCATTATTATTGATCCCACTATTAGTTTGAAATGAGATATTTTTTTCCTTAAATTTTTAAGAAAGTAATGCTTGTCGTATTTATACTTTTTTTCATGATATTTTGCCATATTTAGTAAAATGATTTTCATAATAACTAGTAATACACCATTTTGAAAGGAAAATATGGCACATTACTTTAGGATGGCTCCATTACTGTTGATTCCATAATTTGATTGAATAGAATATTGAATTTCTCATTAACAAATTTTTCTATGGCCTACTTCATTCTCTACCTGACGTGCAATCTCAACTGATGATAAACATTACTGTATATTTTGAGTGCTCTATATCCAATTCTCTAGATCATATAACTCTTTACTCCCCAACCAAATACTCTTGACTGTTAGGCTTTTGCCATTGATGTTAGGGGTGGTCGAGAGATTCATGGATGCGGTGGTCATATTGGTGGCGGGTATAGTCGTGATATAAAACCATTCCAGCTTGCCCCCATTGTCGTCTTACCAGCCATTATCTTGAACATTGCTAAGAGAAATTCAACCGTAACTTCTTGGTTCAACATAATTCTACATCTGGTCCAACCATGTCTAATCCTAGTGCTACATCCCCTAGATTAGTTTGTTGGCTTTGACAATTTGAGACATCTACTTCAATATCTTATACCATTTCTTCCTTTGGATCGTTATAATGCTCATTTTTGAATGACTTTTGTTGTCTGCTACTTGCTTTCTAAGGGGTTGTTTGGGATCACTTTTATTTTTATTTTTGTTTTATTTCTTATGTTTTGATTTAATTAAAACATGTTTGATTGAGGTAATTATTTTTAAAAATACTCAAAATATCTTTTAATTGTTTTTTTTCAAATAAGTTGATATATTTTTTAAAAGAAATATATATATATATATATATATAAATTATAACAATTAAATATGTTTTAAAAAATAAAAGTGATGTCAAGTGGGTCCTAAAATCGTTCCTTTGTTTAAGAAGATTGCTTTTTTTTTGTTTGCATATAGTTCTTCAATTGTATATTTGTATGACATACGACTAATTTGGTAAGGCATACTTGAGATAACATTGAAATATGCTTTAGTGCCTTTATTTTAGTTGGGATATTTGGTTACAATATGACCAAACTTGCAATTTCTCATCATGCTTGTTAATGCCCAAATCATAGTTTTCTTTTTCTTAAAGAACACTTCAATATTCAGAACCTTGTCCAATGTTTGAATATTTAGGGTCGTTTAGGGTAAATTATTATTATTTTTTTACTTTGTTTTTAAAAGCATGCTTGTTTAGTGTGTTTTTTATATATTATTCTCTTTTTTTTTAACAAATTAATATGTTTTTGAAAATACTTAAAACAATCTGTAGGCATTTTGAGTGTTTTTAAGGAAAAACTATATCTTAATTAAAAACATGAGCAAAACAAAATAAAAAATAGAAAATAAAAACAAAATTGATTCCAAACGGCAGTTTAGCTTTTATTCTTAAATTTGGAGTCTTTGTTTGACAATTAGAGGTTGGATTGTCAGATCTTGTAACTCACACAAGCTGCCTTTTCTAATAATTTTATTCCTGCTTTCAGAGCTGTTGCTGCTGAAACCTGTGAAGAGCTTTTTGTTGCTGGTGCACCACATGTTGGACTTTCATATAATGGTGTTGAGGTCTTTATGAATGCAAGCGGAAGTCACCACCAGCTACGAAAACTCAATATTAGGATTGATGCGATTAAAAGTGCGACTTCGCTCTGTGGAGGTGTCTACATGTATAGCAATCACCAGGGTTGTGATGGCGGTCGTCTTTATTATGGTATAGTAAGCTTGAAATATCTAAATATTTATGGATTTGTATGAATTATTGCTCCTTATAGAGCATTATAGCTTCCCGGCTTATTTTAATCATTCTTCAAATGCGTAAAGAATGATGTAAGCGATTCTATTGATCTTATATACGCACATTATGTTTCTTTGGTGCTGGATCGCTATGGTAGTTTTGTTATTTCTATGATTATTTTCTATGTTTGTGCATGATTCATGTTGATGTAAATTATTAAGTTATGGTGGCTGCATAAAATATATAGTTTATATTATTAACTCATATTCTTTCGTCAATTTTGTTAAATAATTGTGTTATGCTAGAACCCTATAAATCGTGTTTTTTCCGTAAATGTCAATGAATTAAATCTATGAATTGTTTGCACTAACTGACAGATAAGTATGGCAGATGGATGCTGTTTCGTTGCTGTGAATGGGGATGTTGTTGCTCAAGGATCTCAATTTTCCTTGAAGGAAATTGAAGTTCTGACTGCCGTTGCGGATCTTGATGCTGTAAGTCTTTTGTTTATGCTTAATAATTTGGAAGATTTACATGCATACCACTCAATTCTTATATATTTACCTATCTAATACCTCAACCTCAATTTTTACATATATGCCACTTTACCTATGCGTGAAAATGTGTATTTCATCTTATAAAATTTAAAATTTAAAATTGTGGTATTTTTGCTGTTATATGAAAATTGGGTGATATAAGTGTAAAAATTAAAGTTTAGATGTTAGATATTGTCACAACTCGACCTGGGAGCTTGGAATACTAAAATGAGAACGAACTGTTAGACAGAGGAAGAATTATCTAAACAATTTCTTATACAAAAGCATCTAAAATATAAAAAAGTTTATATATTTCACAAAACTTCAATTTACAATAGTTCGATCAGATCTAAACTCTTATAGCTGAAAAAAATGTAAAATTAAAATATTGTACCTATCTTCTTGAGGTCCTTGACGTTTGTACACATATTCTCTAAAATTCATTTATTCTATAATAGATTTTTTCGAAAAATATTAGTAGCTAAAGATATGAATTAAGTTGCTCAATGGGTAAAATGTCTTTAAATTTTAATATTTAATATTTAATATTTTAAAAAATGATAAGCAATAAAAAAGAGTTTGTAAATAAATCAATTTTCTTGTTACTTTTATTCATTTCAGTTATAATATCCATTAATAGGACTCTTCGTCCAAGCATATACTAGAAGTATATGTTTAACATTTTCTAAAATCCACCAAAATGGCGAGCAACTATTTCTATAAAATTTGGGGAGGAATAATTCTTGCTTAATTTTATTATTAACATGTTAGGTACATATATATAGGAAAAAATCTCTTCTAATTTATAAACTTTTTATTTATTTATTTGATTATTTAATTTTTAATTTACAAACTTACCGAATATATCTAACCAAAATTAGGAAATGAAATAATTCTGAAAATAAAAATAAAATAACACAGAATAGGAATGAAATAAAATAATCAAGGGTTTTCTAAGTTCTCCCAATCAAATTCTTTGCAAGATCTTCTCAGATTTTTCACACTTTAATTCGGGTCGTAGATGTTGTAGAGACAGCTTGATATTGAACTCTGAAAAGGCGCTTGAACGAAGAGCTTTGATGAAGACATCAACAACCTGTTGGGTGTAGAGATGTAATTTAGCTGTGTAGTTTTCTCTTTAACCTTTTCAGAGATGAAGTGTTTTTCAACTTCAATATACTTGGTTTTGTTATGATGCACAAGATTTTTGATTATATTGATAGCTACTTGACTGTCACAAAATATCTCTATAGGCCTATTGGTGGTGAACCCTGTTTTTTTAACAATTTCAGAATCCAGTTCCCTGCACAGATTCCCAAGGCGGGTGTCCTATATTCTGATTCTCCATTGCTTCTGGAAACAACTTGCTTCTTTTAAATGTCACTAGATTTCTTTATATATAGGAACAGTAACCTATGATAAACCCTTTATTAGTGAGCTTGTTTCAGTTACCCAGGAGATAAAACGAATGAATGAAGGAGAAGAAAGGAAGCGTTAGAAGCCGAAGAAATGGAAGTCAGCAGACGAAAAAAATGAACAGAGCGGGAGAGGAAGCGATGGGGGGTCGGCATGTTGAAGAGGTGAACTCACCAATATAAGTTGCAGTCGGCTTACCTGGAGAGCTTTTTCCTCGGGTTGCGACCTTTGGTGTAAGTCTCTCGGGTCAGAGGTTTGATTCTTGCATAGGATCGAATTGCACACCTTCTGGAAAGGTGGTCCGCCCCTCGGTCAAACTATGGGGTTGATCGACGATCAACCTTTAAGATACACACACACACTAGGTTTACTTAAAATAAATATGAAAATTTAATATTTAAATAATGAAAAGTTAATAGTTATTAAAATAATAAATTAATGAAAGTTTATACCCATATTTATTGTAGGCTTAAATTTTAAAAGTGTTGAAGTTAAGATAAATTCAAGAACATATCATTTACCATCTAGATGAATACTCGTACTTTTAATTTATAGCAATAATTTATTTCGTCTCAACTATTTTACAGTTACTGACACTTGCATGTATGTTGATTGAGATATTTTTTTATAGGTCATATTGTTATGCATGTTGTAGCTATCCGCTCTCATGCATTTGATGTATGTTTTATATATTATGTTGAATTCAATGCGATGAATACTTGAATGTTATATTTATGTTGATTGCCTATATGTGTATGACTGATTATGATAAAGTCATCTCTTCATGATACTAGTGAGGTAATACTAAGGTGCTCATGCATGTATATGGAAAGTAATATTGATATTGATGTGTCTTAATTGACACAGTTTTTAGACGGTACTCCTGTGACGGTTGTACCTATATATAATAATATTGACATGCTATTGCTATTGTATGATTCTTTAAATAACATCAAATATTTTTATTGATTTATTAAAAACTTGTCTAACATGCATATAATTTTTAAGACGCATCACAAAGATTTCTCATAATCAATTTGGATTTATGTCGGGCGGGTCTACTATGGAAGCTATACATTTATTGAGAGGTTTGATGGAGAAGTTCAGAGATAATAAGGAGAATCTACATTTGATTGTTATTGATTTAGAAAAAGCATACGATAAGGTTCCAAAAGATATTCTTTGGAGAGTTCTGGAGAAGAAACGTGTTGATATGACTTATTTTCAAGTCATTAAAGATACGTATACTAGAGCTGTTACTTGTGTTCAAACTGAAGGAGGATTGAATTTCTGTTGGATTACATGAGGGATCGACTTTAAGCCCATATCTTTTTGCTTTAGTTATGGTTGGTCTTGCTGGACATCTATAGGAGGATGTACCTTGGTGTATGCTTTTTGCTGATGATATCCTTCTCGTGGATAAAACGAGAGAAAAAGCTCAGGAAAAACTTTAATTATGGAGGTCTACATTGGCGTCTAAAGACCTTCATTTAAGTAGAACTAAAACTGAATACATGGAATGTAATATTAGTAGTAATAGCTCTAGTGACAGAGGTGTGACTTTGAGTGATCAAATTATTAAAATGTGTGAACGATTTAAATATCTTGAGTCCGTTGTTCAAAGCAATGGTGATATAAATGGGGATGTTAATAGTAGAATTCAAGTTTGAAGTGGAGGAATGCTTCGGGCCTTTTGTGTGATAGAAAAGTACCGCTTAGACTAAAAGGAAAATTTTATAAGACAGTGGTGAGACTTGCAATGCTCTATGACTCTGAATGTTGGCCTTTAAAATAGAAGATGTGTTGCCAAGGTGAGAATGATTAGGTGGATGAGTGGCTTTACACTTAGAGACAAAATGCGAAATGAATATATCTGTATATCTTGATAGAGTTGGTGTAGCTCCTGTGACAGACAAAATTAGAGAAAGTCGTCTTAGATGGTTTGGTCACATTAAACGTCGACCATTTGATGATCCGATTAGGAGAGGAGATGTTTTAGATTCGACTTGTGTTAAGAAAAGCAGAGGTAGACCTCGGAAGACTTGGGCTTATTGTATTAAAAATGATCTTAATTTACTAGAACTAAATGAAAATATGACACTAAATAAGATGTAATGGAGAAAAATGTTTCATGTAGCCGACCCCACGTAGTGGGATTAAGGCTTTGTTGTTGTTGTATTATTATGGTTTAAGTGCATGAATATTCATTGGTTTATTGAGGTCATTATTATTTTAAATTAAATTTTTAGGTTAATTAAGTGATTAACGATGTGCATTGAAAGAGATAACGTTTTTAGAAGACACACATAACTAGTAACGATTTAATTTTAAATATATTGCTTTAATTTAATTTGATCAGTGACCCTTTCTTTTGTTAAATTGTGGATGAATATAAGAAATTTAGTTCCCCCCATTCGACTATTCTTGTCTTGGTTATTTGCCTTGGGTCGGGTTGTGGCAAAAGAGGTATCAGAGCCTGGTCGTGATAAAAGTGATATGAGAAATGACTTGAGCTTTGTTTAGGAATTTTGAGAACAAAATTTCTATAAGTGGGAATGATTGTAACTCCCACACACCCGGTTTCAGTTACTAGGGAGAAGAAACAAAGGAATGAAGGAGAAGAAACAAAGAGTTGGAAGTCGAAAAAGTGAAAGTTAGGAGATGGGAAAACGAACAAATCAGGAAAGGAAGCGAGAGGAGGTCGGGAAGTCGAAGAGGTGAATTCACCTATATAAGTCACATTTAACTTACTTGGAGAGCTTGTGCCCTAGTCAATCAAAGGAAGTTGTTGAGTCGATAGGAGGAGGTGGTGTCTCTGTCACGCAGAGGAAGAAGAGGAGACGAGTTGATCGTGTGTTCGAGCGTTGGTGAGTCAAAACAGAGCCCTCGTGCATAGGAAGAAGATTGTCGCGTGTAGAGGGGAGAATAGGACTTTCACATGGGTTAGGGCTTGATCGAGGGGATTTTTAAGGGTAAGATATTTAGTAAGAATTCTATATATATATATACATATACATAGATATATATATATATATATATATATATATATATATATATATATATATATATA